GCAACCAGCTGGCGAGAACCAGCCGACCAATGTTCCTCCTTCATTCTCCTCCTTCCTCCGGCAAACTACAACTCCGACCAAGTGAGCAGCTCCGACGAGGTTCAAAATTCTGGAATCTTACACAAGGCGGATCTCGACAGATCCATCCAGACATTTAATTATTTTTTGTCTTCTAAAAATTATCTTATTTTCATCTATAATTTTGTGATGAGATTCATCAATAATAGTTGTCAATCTTTTGCTAAGCATGAATCGTTAAAACCCTCTGAACATTTGCTCATTTTACTTTATTATTTGTAGATTTGGGTTGATTAAATTTTTGCTCAGATTGTCATCACTGTGTTATACGTTTGAATATATTTGTGTTCTTCGTAAATGGGTGTTGGTTGATTCTTGATCCAATTTGATGTTGGATATGATTGTATTGGTTTTTCCTAATGTCGGTTGCTTCTAAATGGATTGCTTTCCTTAATTAGTTTCAGAGGATTTTCCTCTTGCTCAATTTGTTGTGACCTCAATGATAATCCTCATCTTGATCACCACCCTAATTACTTGATCCTCTAGGGTAGATTGTTAATATAGATTATAATTAATTAATTTATTTTTCTAATTGTTGATGTTGAACTGGTTATTCTCTTGCCGATTTGCTCATTGTCTTGTTATGGTAAGTCTATATTGGTATCCTGTGATTTTGGTAAGTCTTTTAATTTTCAAGAATTTGCAAGCGAAATTGTAGATCCGTTGAGAATTTTAATAAACTATTGTCATTGATTCTTATCTTGATTGACTCTAATATATTCTTACATGTTGTATTTTTAGAAAAATGATATTTGATTAAGGTAAAAGAATTGTACTGATTTTACTCCCTACTTATTAAGGAAAATAAAAATTTTATAAGTTGCTTAATTAGTTATATTCCTTTATGGTCGAACTCTCTTCTTCTCTTACATAAAGAGACCTTTGCTCTTCACAACCCTCAGACTTAGAAGCTTACACTTAGCAATTATCAAAACTATCTCTACTCTAAAAGAAAAGAAATAAAACAAGAGTCTTGAGAACTCTAAGAAGTCTCTCCATTCAGTTTTGATGTGTTCGTGTCAAGCATCAGATTAAATTTGTCTTCATTGTTGATAATATAGTCTGCTCAACTGGTTAGTGTTCTCCGTTAATTAACTTCTGTTTTGTATTAGAATTATTTAATTGTGTAATGCTCTATGAGGATTCAAGTAAAGCATCCGGGTCAGTTTTCCTTTTCCTTCTCTTTACGTGACATGATATATGTTTTCACATGTTTTGTTCGAACTTCGTGTGCCCTATGACAATATGCTAAATAGTAATGTTATGTGTTCTTTGTATTATGTATTTGTTGTGTCGTTGTCCTTTAGCAGGTTTGAACACAAAGTTCAAGATATGGAGAGTCGCCATGGGAGGGAAACAATAGACAAATTGATTTTGTTTAATTTATGTTTTGTATATTGTTTAATCTCTATTTATGTTTTGTAATAATTTGTATAAACTCTAACTCTCTATATATATTAAATAATTGGGGAATCATCTAAGGGGGAGGGGAATATATGTGCTACTTGTTCGCAAATTATTAAGTTAGGAAGCATGTCCACATCTCTTAAAGAATCCGCCTAACGTCAATCATTAAAACCAACAAATTTGTAATAAATAACCTTTAAGTATGTTGCATAATCTGACTTTCTGAAACAAATGCTAGTATATTAATTAATTAGTTTGAATTACTAAGAGTTTGATAACTTTAGTATTAGTTGATAACCCAAGTCTTAATTTTATATGTTTAATAGCTGTCTTTCAGCATGCTAATGAATTTTAAAACGAATAAAGTCTGAACCTTTTTAAGTACTGATTTGTCATAATTGTTATCTATTAATGTGATCCTTATTAATAATTTTCAGCATTATCACACTTAGAAAAGCATGCCAATAGGAATGAAATATTTCTTAATGTCATTTGGGTGTAGAAACCATGCCTATAGGTTGTGGATATTGTTCTTTACTTAGAAATCATGTTCATAGTCATTCTAATAATTTCAGCATGTTAAATAATGTAAATAAATTTGCTGCATATTTCTCCTCACTGTCAAATGATTTCTGCAAATAATTGTTTTTCTGCCACTTAAAATAAATCAACCAACTATTTCCAGCATGTTGCAACCAAAGAATAATAAATTTATGTGACCATTTTGAGAATATAAATTGGAACTGCTTAAAACTAATCTCCCTTGATCAAATCTGCCCGAATCAGTTATTTTTTGCATCATAATTAACTGTTTTGCCTCTTAAAATCAGGTACAGATTAATTTCTGCATCTATTAAACTGACTGCCATTTAAAATAAATCTCACATAATAGTCTATTCTGCTACTGCATTAATATTCTATTTTCTACATAATCTGCTACTTTAAAATTGATGTCCTAATTAATTTTTGCCCAAAATATTTTAGTTTCTGTATTATAAACAATTGTCTGGCCACCTAAAATTCACTAAAAATAACTTCTGCACTTGTAATAATTTTCTGCCCTCTAAATTTAGTAATTATATTTTTAATGTTTGTATGCCACACACTCAAGCATGAGACCTTTCACTAATTATGTGTGTTTGCAAGCATGTTAGTTAAAATCTAGAGGCCAACATGAGACTTTACATGCTAAGTGTTGTCCAATGTGTTTTGCTTGGTGTATAGAGGGCCTAATTAGGAACCTATATTTTATTTTAGTCTAAAACCACCTTAATAGTAGTCCAATGCCTCTTGGACATTAAGAGGGGACGCTAGGCACCTTCTAGGACGTTATGCATGTGAAAGGTGGGGTAGGGGTAGTTAGGACCTTACGGAGATGATGAAATTGACTCGAGCTTTAAACGACAAACATTGGTTTTGTCTTTCCGAATATAGAAGTTGACCGATATAAAAAGCCGAGCGTTGATCGGTAAAGTTGTTGGTTTCCATGGTGTCCCTTTCCTTTTCCCTTTATTTGTTTTATAATTATAATTTTTTGGGGTAGCTTAATAAAAAAATAAAAATGTTTGCCTATCTAATTGTGCAATTTCTATCTTCTCGCTCCTCTCTTTATTAATTGTTTAATAGTTGTTTGTTGTTTATCTATATCATCTAGTAACCATATTTAATTTAAATAATCAAAATGAAGTGAACTTAATTTCTACTTTTAACCCCCCACATAAATTGCATGCGATACGGCTGGGATCCACATATGTGGACCTCGAGGGATGCTTATTACCTTCTCCTCTAGGTAACTTGAATCCTTACCTGATCTCTGGTTCGTTGACCTTTAGTTAGGATTATATAGGTTAGATAGGTGCCCTAACGCGCCTTAATTCTTTAGGTTGCGACTCTTCACTTCACTCAAAGCCCAAAAGAGTTGTTAAGTCGTACACCAAAATCCGTTTTGCGAAAAAACGGGGTGCGACACCCTGCCAAATGTATAGAGGCATGATGGCATGATCACAAAAATGATGCCCACAGAGGGGACTTAAAACATATGGGGCATGTAGTTCAGGGCCTTGAGGGTGACTGACTCTAGTCCACTCGGTATTAAGCCTCTCCCAATTGATTAAGTAAATAACAATTTATGACTGAAGTTTTGTAATACTGGATAATTCAAAATACTAACATGCTAACTGAAAATGCAACATTAATCTGTTGATAATGAAACATTTAAATCTGAGGCATGTATAACTGAAATATCTGACCTAGCATGGGTAATTCATGAACTAAAAGAACTACATAGCTAGGGTTCTTAGTTTATACATGAATCTGGGCAGAAATGATACTACAACATGATAATATGATTAGGAACATTAAAGTAACAAATTCATAATAATCTACTGAAATTCTAGAAACCCTAGGTCTAGAAAATCTTAAAGGAATCAAGAATCTGACTAAATTCTATGGACCTGATGGGTGAAACGAACCCACTAGTGAAATCACACATACCTGGTGACGAAATTCACGGAGAAATCTTTCGATTTCAGGGATGGAATGAAAGATAACCTTGCAGCGTTCTTGGAGAGGGTTGGTCGACTCTTTCTCCTACTTTTCGCTCTAGTCTGATGATTTTTTTGTGAATAAAGGTTTTGGTTATGTTCTGACTAGGTTATTAGGCTTAATCTGAGTAAAACGACGTAGTTTAGGGGTTAAACGACGTAGTTTAGGTGCCCAACGCTTAGGGGAAAGGACCAAAACAACCCTAACTTAGACCATCTCCAACCCACCTCTATTTTATTCTCCATTATCTATATTTGGAGAGTAAAATAAAGAATGGGCACTCCAACCCACCTCCAAATCACCCTCTATTCTTCAAATTTAGAGAGTTAAACAGTAGTTCTTCAAATTTGGAGAACTACTATTCACACTCTCTATTTCACTGTTTCATTAGTTTATTATTATTTCTATTACTTTCTAATTAACATATTATTTTACATATAATTCCATTAATTAAATATCTAATATTCATAATTCTTTTTTAAATGTAATATAATATTTTAAAAAATATTATTTAATATATACTATTTTAATTTCAAATTAATAGTATTTTAATTTTTTTTCTAATTTTCGTGAATAATAAAATTTTATTTTATTATTAATTTTCATTATAAAGAATACGCAAAATTAAATAATAATTAATTGATCACAACGATAATTTAGTAATCCAGTAGGTCATTTCCAGATTTAGCACTATTCAGAAAAAATATTGGATATGATTCTGAGAATTGTTGCGATTGTGGTTGTGATTGCGGTTGTGACTGTCGATTTATTTTTTCAAGTATTTGTTGTTGTTCTCGTTGCAGGTAATCCTGAGCGTTTGAATCACTAATAGTTTCTAATTTTTTCATTAAGATTTTAGTTTCGTCTCTAAATTCCTTGGCTTTGATATATCTATCTAGCCTTTCGCTGTCCTGTTGTTTGGATGTAGCAGACTCTGATAACATCTTCCCAAGTCGATTATTTACGATTTCTCAAAGTGTCATAGCTGATGAAAGACCTTCATCTTTTGATCTTTTTAATTTTGATTTCTTCACCCCAATAGGCCGTTCGAATGAAGTGCAATGACCTGAAAAATTCTCATTTAAATTAAGTGAAAAAGATGATAAGTTAGGAGATGATACTATAGGTGATGAAGGACTACGAGCCTCGGACTCCGATGATTGCAAAGTAGAGTCTTGTCCTCGAACTTTTTTCTTTCCGGTGTCGATATCCTTAAACTTTTCAAAATCTTTCATTAGATTCGATACATGATCAAACTTAAAACCTTTTTTATACGTTGGTTCTTGCATAAGTAGCATTTTTGCTTGATTAATCCGCAAAAATATGAATCAAAATTGTGTAAGTAAATATATATAAATATATTATAAGTAGTTAGAAAATAGTCACTTAGAATATCTATATTTGAAGCACCACTGGGATGCAAATTTTCTATTTGTCTAATACATCCACTTAATTTTCTTACTGCCTTCTCAATTAAGGCTATTCCACACTGCAATGATTTCTTATTGCGATATATCCATGATTCTTCCTTTAAATTATTATAGCTTTGTTCAATTTGAAACCAAAACTGATCATAGGATTGGCATATGCCGGTGATCGGGTCTTGAGATGGATTTCACTATAATTTTAACCATTGAACTTCGTAATTCATTAATAGAACATTTTGAACTCCGTAATGCATTAATAGAGCATTTATGGGAGAAACGTAATAATTTTGAAAATTGAGTGTTTATGTAATTGTATGTCACTTTTATTTGAATTTGTCCCCTAATTTATGTATTATATTATATTTTCTTGCAATTTATGTTATTTAAAAATTTAGAATAAAATATAATTTCATATCACATTAAAAATTATATAACGTAATTATTTGGGAAAAAAGAAATAACGGATTTATATTATGAAATAAAAAAATAAGAATGAAATAGAAATAATAATATAATATTGAGGAGAGAGAAAAAGATTTTTTTTAGAGAGTAAAATAGAGAATTGGGTTGGAGTTGGTTGTTTGAAAAAAAGAGAACTCTATATTTGGAGAGTAAAATAGAGGATTGGGTTGGAGATGCCCTTAATTCTGGCGAAGCCCATCCACGGAGGGAACGACGGTCCGTCGTTTGACCTACTGACCGTCGTTTGGGTTCGTCGGTTAAGTCTGTCCGACAGGGCTTCATTAAAACGAGCATAACTTTTTACTCAGAGATCAGATTTTAACAAACTCGGTGGCGTTGGAAAGAGGATCCAATTATCTATCATTATTTAGGTCATGGGTCACCTAATTAATTTTGTTCTAAGGGTTATGAACCGTTTAATTTGACCCAACATCAATTTCCCTCTAACTAGCGGTTGACCCTCACCTACGGTCAGAGCTACGGTTCGTAGGTCCAACCACGGACCGTACTGGTCGACCAAGGGTAGGATCAGAGACTATTACGACTTGGGCCTTAACAACGGAACCCCACCTACGCTCCGTGGATGGTTTCGTTGGTATTGGCAGTAGCTTTTCTGAAAATTAGGATTTTCTTCATTCTGAGATTCAAGGTGTTACAAAAAACTAGGACCACCTTTTTTTTTCTTTTTTATTTAACACTTGATCTCAGATTTGAAAAGCTGGAGATAATATTCTTTTTGTTAAATAGAAAAGAAGATATACAAACCACCAAAGGGAGATTTGTGACCCAGAACTCTCACTTAATTCCTTCCCTTTCCTATTACCCCAATGTTACGAAAAAATTGGGATTTCTAATTAATTTTTTGGTCAAATCTATTTCTCTGAGGAATAAATTATTGTGCTACTAGATTTTTTCGCCTCAAATTAGGGGATTCAACAAAGACCCAAATATTACAGATCTAGGAAATCAACCTAAACTACCTAGAATCACAAAAATTGAATTTGATCTTATTTGGATGCAAAGAAATCTCAAAATTGAACCCAAAAAAATATAATAAAAAATGCAAACAGAGATAACCAAAAACTGAAGATAAAAATACGATATATTCACTTACCTGATACAATAACACCACACGCATAGAGAGCTCTAAAATTACCTCCTTTGTTTCTTCTTCATTGTTCACTGATCATGCACAAATTAATTTTTAATACAAATTGATAAAGGCTTATGTTCTGAGATGTTTTGATGATCTCCTCACAAGTGCAGGGATCTGGTCCTCTGCAGAGTATGAATACTCGTCCAGTGTCAAAGTGATGAACAACTGTAAAGTTGTCTGAGTCAGAAAGTTGGTGAAGCTGCAGAGTACTTCACCAATCAGAAGCGACGAGGTTGTTTGTAGGTTTGATAATAATTCCTCATGGTATACATCAAACAACAAACAACATTACTATCTCATTCATTCAAAGAGAGATACTGTCAAGCTTCAAAATAGCAAGGGACCTGATAGAAGTGCTTCTATTTGCTTTCAGTACCAGCTGCATTTGTTTGCTTGTAATAGTGCTTAGAATGTAGAATTTGTTTCACTTGTGAAAGAAACGTATCAAACTTGTGTGAATCATTGTAAGAACTAGGTTAAGGGTAACTTAGTTTCTTACTCTAAAGTCTATACTAATCGGCTAGGAATAGTGTAGTGGGCAGTGTTGTATCTGCTCTGGCTCACCTAAGTAATAGGAGGCATTACTTAGAGTTGGGATTAGGAGGCTAATCTCAGCTTGTAAACTGGCTTTTACTTTTTCTTGAGAAGATTAGTGAAAGCAGTTTGAAAAGTCCTGGCAGGCCAGGTCGTGGTTTTACTCCCTTGAGCAAGGAGGTTTTCACGTAAAGTTGATTGTCAATCTTTACTTTCTGCATTTGTTCTTTACTGTTTATTATTGTTACTGTATTGAGGACCTGGTCCCATCTACATAGGTGGACGCATACATTCCAACAAGTGGTATCAGAGCTTGACTTTTCAGTTTGGTTAACACCAAGAAAAGAAAAGATCTTGAAGGAATGGTTGCTCTACCCAATATGGAGGAAGGAAACTCTTCTACCAAGCCACCTCGTTTCAATGGCCAATACTATGGATGGTGGAAGAATCGAATGCACGATTACATCAACGCTGAGGACTCTGAGTTGTGGGGAATTATCCTTGATGGACCATATATTCCTACAAAGGAGGTGAAGGATGGAGAGCTTACCACTATCGTTGTCAAAACCAGAAAAGATTACAATGAGGCAGACAAGAAAATGATTGAAAAGAACTGCAAAGCAAAGAAGATTCTTGTATGTGGAATTGGAGCGGATGAATACAACAGAATATCCGTTTGTGAGACTGCCAAGGAGATTTGGGACTGTCTTCAAACAACCCATGAAGGAACCCAGCGAGTGCAAGAGTCTAAGGTTGATATACTCACCACTCAGTACAAAAATTTCAGCATGAAGGAAGGGGAAACCATCTTTGAGATGAACTCAAGATTCACCTCTATCACCAATGAGCTGAGAGGCCTGGGTGATCCTATTCCTGTCAATAAGCAAATTTGCAAGATCCTCAAAGTGCTTCCTAAATCTTGGGAAAGCAAGGTGGATGCCATTACAGAAGCCAAAGATCTAACGACTCTTCCCATGGAAGAAATGATTGGGAATCTTCAGACCTACGAGATGAACAAGAAGCAGGGAATGACATTGAAAGGAGGAAATAAGAAGTCAGTTGCTTTGAAAACATCTCAAAGTGAGGTGACTGAGGAGGAGGATGAGATGGCGTATGTCACTAGAAGATTTCAAAAGATCATAAAGAAGCATGGGGTTTTCCAAAAGAAAGCCTCTACCAGTAGAACTGCCACTGCAAATGATCTGTACCATAAATGTGGTAAGCCTGGTAACTTTATGAGAGACCGCCCCAGTCAAAGGCAGGAAACTTATGACACCAAACCTCGCAAGAGGGACCTGGTCCCAGAAAATGTTAGGAGGAAGGCTCATGTTGATCAGTTGGTGAGAAAAGCCTTTGCTGTATGGGGGATGATTCAAGTGAGTCAGAAGAAGATGCAGAAAGCCATGAGGATGTATCAATGATGGCTATTGAATATGATGAAAATGTTTTCAACTCCATTTTCTCCTTGATGGCTAAGTTTGATGATGAGGAAGATCCAGATGAGGTAACCCTTTTTTATCTTAAAGATGATTTAGAAAAAAATTCTGTTAAAAAATTGAGGAAACTTGTTGCCCTGCTTATTGATTCCGTTAAAGAACGAACCACTGAAAACTTAATGTTAAATGAAAAATTGAGTTTGTGTGAGGATGAGAATTCAGCTCTCATGTCTCAAGTTTCTGAAATAAGCTTAAGGATAGGTACTCTAGAAACCAGCAATATAATTCCTAAGGAGGATCCTGGTACTTCAGAGAGTGGAAAGAGAAAGCTTAGCATCTTTGAGGAAGAATTGGAAGAAAAGCTTAAAATTTCAGAGTCGAAGCTAGCTGCTTCTCTTGAAACTAATTCTCAATTGAGAAAGGATATGAGTAGGATCAAGGAGGAGCTAAGACACTCTCTAAAGTGGACTGATTCCTCTAAGATACTATCTAACCTATCCAATCAGAGTTTCAATGGAAAGAAAGGGCTGGGATGCAGACCAATAGAACCTCCCTATAATCCTCATAGAAAATATGTGTCTGTATCTGACAATCTGTTGTGCACTCATTGTGGGCGTAATGGTCACCTAAAAGAAAAGTGTGAGAGTCTGAGCAGAGCAAAAGAAAAGCAATGTGAAATTTGTCAAATCTGAAAACAATGATAAAAGGGAACACAAGGGACCTGGTCCCCGTTATCGTTTCAATAAGAACACTTTGCCCTCCTGGACAGGAAGGTTTCTTATTAAGCCTTTTTGATAGTTATTGGGAACCCCGTTAGAAGTGGGTTCCTAAATCTAACAAGTGATTCTTATGCAGAGGAGAGGAAGGAGTCAGTGCTGGTACATGGACAGTGGATGCTCAAGGCACGTGATTGGAGACTCTTCAAACTTCCTCTCTTTGAAAGCACACCAAGGTGGTGGTGTGTCATTTGGTTGTGGAAAGAAGGGCTCTATCCTTGGTATTGGCAGGATAAGGAGATCTGCTGGTAATTCAATAAATAATGTACACTATGTGGAGGGTCTAAAATACAATCTTTTGAGTATTTCACAAATCTGTGATAAAAGGAAATGAAGTCGAGTTCATGGCTGATAAATGGTTTGTTACAAGTCGTATTACCAAAAGGGTTGTCATGTCTGCTACTAGAGTTAAAAATATGTATGTTGCATATATAGATTCCATTGAGGGAGCTGATCTATCCTGTTTAAGTGCTCAAACTAATGATGCAGATCTATGGCATCGGTGACTGGGTCATGTGAGTACTTCATTGCTAAACAAACTTGTTACAGGGGACCTGGTCCGCGGATTGCCAACACTAAAGTATTCAAATGTCAAAGTCTGTGAGGCCTATGCCAAAGGGAAACAGACTAAGTCATCATTCAAGGTCAAGAAGGGAGTCAATACAACGAGACCTCTAGAGCTGCTCCACATGGACTTATGTGGACCTATCATTGTTGATGATTTTTCCAGGTTCACTTGGAACATGTTTCTGTGAACGAAAGATAAGACAGCTGGACAACTGATCACATTTGTGAAAGCCATCCAATTGAAGCTAAATGGCAAGATAGCTAGTATCAGATCTGATCATGGAACGGAGTTTGAAAACTATCTACTTGAAGGGTTATGTGCAGAAAATGGAATCAATCACAACTTCTCAGCGCCAAGAACTCCTCAACAAAATGGAGTGGTTGAAAGAAATAATGGAACTCTGGTGGAGATTGCTAGAACTATGTTGATCAATTCAGGACTTATAATGAATTTTTGGGCTGAAGCAGTTAATATAGCCTGCTATGTGACAAATATGTGTCTTATCAGATCTATCATCAAGAAAACACCTTATGAGCTATTAAATAACAAAAAACCTTCAATTGCTCATCTAGACCATTTGGGTGCAAATGCTTTGTGTTGAATAACGGAAAGGATGATCTAGGCAAGTTCGATGCCAGAAGTGATGAAGGTGTATTTGTTGGGTATTCATCTACAAGCAAGGCGTACAGGGTGTTTACCAAACGAACTTTGTGTGTTGAATAAAGCATGCACGTCAAGTTTGATTTATTAGGTACAAGAATTGAGAACAATGAAGACTAGGAGGTTGAGGAACTGATGAACAAGCAGCAGGATGATCATGGTACAAAAGAGAAGGATGCATCACACTCAGGAGGACCTGGTCCCTCAGGTTCATCATAGGAATCAGTGTCTCAAAATCTTGAAGAAGATGAAGGTGATTCTGATGCTGACAGAGAAAAAGAGATTACCAGAAAGTTTGGATGGAAGCATCAATCTTCACATCCACTGGACAATCTCATCTCTCCACTTGACTCCGGAATTCAAACTAGATCTAAATCAAGAAATCTAGTTGCTCACTCAGCATTCATATCATCCATTAAACCAAAGAACATCAAAGAAGCATTGCAGGATGTAGACTCGGTAACTTCAATACAGGAGGAACTTCATCAATTTGAGAGAGGCAAAGTGTGGAACCTGGTTCCCAGACCAATTGACAGAACTATTATTGTGTAACGCCCCTAAAAATGAAGTAGGATAAAGTAGAGCATCACATGGGTTTTATACATTAATAACTTGTTAAAAAATAATGAAGAATAGCCTTTTTTAGTCAGTTTTTAAAGAGTTTGGAAGTCAAACGTCAAGGGACGACCAAGACGTTCGGAAACTAGTCTTTTACGTGTTGGTGTGTTCTAGTATGTTGTTCATATTTTTATGAGTTGTTTGGAGTCTAAAATCAGTGGAGGTGACCCTAGTTTCTTAATAAATGTTTTTAGGGTCAAAACGTTCAGGTACGACTCCTCGGGACCACCTTAAGGGTCCCCAAGGAGCACTACAACCCTTGGCCAAACAAGCTGCCAAGGCAGCTTGATAATGCTCATGGAGGGAGCATGTCCGCGTCGCGGACTAGCTCCACCAAGGGCCAAAAGTTTGAACAGTGTCGCAGACTCTTCTGTCTCGAAATTTAATTTCCAGAAACTTGAGGGAACACCTCCGCGTCACAGATTTGTTTCACGATGAAATCTGCGAAAATAAAACTCAAGTTTGACTTGTTTAAAAGGTCCAACTAAGTGAGGGGTACTTTGGGTACTTTGGGGAATTATTATAAACCGTTATTCTACCTATTTTAGGGTATTTTAAGTGGTTAAAACCCCAATACCTAGAATTAGACCTCATTATCCAAATTGAACCTTCCCTCTCAAATAAATTCTCTCTTTAGAACTCCATGGAAGGCATTGATGAAGCTTTAAGCTAGGGGATGGGTTCCAACTGATTTCTCCTTCAAATTCCTAGGAAATTAATCACAAAGATATGGGGATTTTATCTTTGATTCTCCTTTCAATCAAAGAGCCAAATCAATGTGATTTCAATGTTT